GTGTGACGAGGCAAATGTGGAAAACGAACTAAACGACTTCATGGTCGAACAACGTGTTGTGTATTTCTTCTCTTCTGTCAGATGACTACGTGCTTTGTTGGGGCTGTGTCACTCGAAGGAGTAAATAAAGTACCCTGTGTAGCTATGACAACTCTGGCAAGTTATAATAATAATAATTATTATTATTATTGGGGCTAAATATAAATGTGAGTAAAATCCCACCACGGAAGTAGATACGCTGTGCTCCACATAAAAACGCCTCACGTAAACGTGGTGACGCTACCCACTATGCCACTGATCTGGCTGAGGAAGCATTATCACCTTTACGTTCTGATGACTGTTCTGATGACTGTGGAGTCTGCGAACCACTCACCATGTGTTACTGTTTAAGTGAATACGCCCAGGTTAACTTGTGACAGTCACAACTTAACTGTACACTCAGCATTATCGTTCATACGTCACACATTTGGACCCTGCTGCGCCCGTGTGTTTAAAACAGTACGACATCATGAAAAATTGCTATACAGAAAAGCCACCATTATTATGCGTCTTTACTATTAGTGYGCGTTTCGTGTGCTCGTTGATACCTTGGTTGGTGTGAAGCAAGAATACAAACACAAGTAGCGAGAGGCTTGTAACAGACACAACACAAATGTACACCTGCGCACGCATCTTCACCAGCAGGATTGTGTTAGCGTTTGTTGAACCGCATAGTTAGTTACCTTAATTTGTGAGATGTCAACTACATTTAACTTTAACTTAATATACCCCATGATGGTTTTTCTCGATTCCAATGTCATTTGAAAGRTCTAACCTGGTCTGAATGTGAAGGTATTTATTTGTGTGAAAATATCAAAAGCTATGCCTTCACCCACACACTACACAGAATACACAGTCTCTGAATAACTACACAAAAAAGGTATAAGAGGATTAAGGCACTTTTATTTTTTTGACATTTCAATAAATCAATCAAGCTACCTGAAWAGCATGTGGTACGTAGCCAGCTACATATGAATTCAATGTAATATGAAGAGCAGAGTGGTGTGAGTGAATTTAGGTAAATTAAAGACAAGTCCAGCTGCTGCAGTAGTTGGATAGCACTAGCGGGTAGACCAGCCAGGAGGGAGTTTTAGTACATAAATAATTTATTAGATGCACATAGGACAGTAAAAGTCACCATCCACTCCTGGTTGCCCAACACAGCTTAAGTGATACCAGCTGTMACATAGTGTGCAAGCAATCTGGAAGTAGAGAAAAAACATTAACATGTATTGCAGTACCATAAGTAAGACATGCATAAACTGAAAGTGCTTAAAGTCTGCCTCACCCATTGCACATCTGTGTCATACACACCACACACTCGGCATAGTCCAGACAAATCATCTGTTCATTAAACATAGCTAAGTTATTTTCTCAAATAAATAGCTCTTGTTTTACAATATCTAATAAAAACAAATAAAACACCAACCTGTTCCTTTGATCAGCCGCTGACTTATCTGCATTCTTTCATACAGGATAGTTGGCTTATTAAAAATGACATYGAACTCTTCTCCATTTAAAATCATGTCTGCTAACTGAAACAAGAAACAAGTGGAAAACACAGATGCAGAAACGGTCCAACCATTTATTTTTGGAATGATTGATTCAAAGCACGTTCACTTACTTTACACACAATAACACCACATGATGTGGCATCCTCTTGATGAGCGGGAGTAACCGTCTCACAGGACCAGCGGGACCATTGCCCCCCCTCTACCTGGTCACTGCACTGCATT